GTACCTGTTTGCCGGGGGGTAATCGAGTTTAAGCGGATCGTACCCTAAATTGGTCGACGTGCTTTTTTACGCTATTTATATCTAAGTTCGAGCTTAGTCGAACTTACAATTAAAGTTTATTATGATTTTAATATTATTTTAATTTATAAACCAGGGTTGAAAAGCCGCTTCGCGACTTTTCAACCCTGGCCCTGTCTTAAACCGCATGCTGTTTGCTTTGCATAATTGCGCTGAATTCAGATGACAAAAAAATGAAAAGCTTCGCTTGTGACCCTTTATATAGACGACTCCCCACTTCCGGTCAATGCTAATTTTTCCTAGCAAAGAGGGTTTTACAAAAACTTAAATTTAATATCGAAAATGGCTGATTTTTATAAATCTGATAGGTGTGCAGTCATCCCTAGACCATTACGCACCTAATGACATATCGTACCCACCCCTAACTTCTTCCCCTATAGAGATACGACTGGAACAACGATACGGAAGTGGATGCAAAGTGGCACACACACACATATACTACTTTTTTATATAAAGTAGGATTAAATACATGCAAATCCCTAGCTTTTGAAAAATACATGTTAAATTTTTTCTGACTTTAGGAAGTGTTCAAACCTTCGGTTACATATTTATTGGGGCCATGTTTTTGTTTCTGTTTTTGAAATCTGAAAAGAATATATATTTTATTGAAATTCACGCACGCCAGCTGGTTAATGCCTTAAATCTCTATAAAATTGTGTTTCATCAATATCTGAATGCAGACATCGTTTGATGCCATTAGTGAACTTCTATCGTCTTCATAATTTTGCTACGCCATCTCAGCAAAAAGTACGTTTCGAAACTATGGCAATATCGTCGAGTTTTTACCTACATATTCGTGCTTTTTTTACTGAGTAGACACGTCGAAAACAATCAAAATCTAATTTTTTGAAAATCCGCGTTTCGAAAATCTATGTTTCTAAAATCTTTTTACGGTTTTAATTCCTTTTCGCTTTAATTAAGGTTACTGAGTGTTTCTTATTTTTCGAATACCATGGTAAAATGTGGCACGAACGAGACGGAAGTGTGTTTCGTCAATATTCGTCCAAAAGAAATAATTTTCTTGAGTCAATGGAAGGACGCGCGAATATTCCAATACTTTCCTATTCTTCGCTTTCTGAATAGTACCTTAAAAACTAAAATTTAAGTACACAAAGAATTTTGACTCTAACACGAGTAGTAATTTTGACTCTAACACGAAAGTATGTTCCCCAAATCTTACTTTTAAAAAATGTTTTCTTTATTTATAATTTGGCATAGATTTAATTTTCGATTAGTCCCTCGGTTTCTTCGAAAACGGTGCAAAAAAAGTGTTTCGTCAACGTTCCTTTACCCGAAAAGTTGTTTACCCTTAATTTGATATAAATGTTTTACCATCAATATTCCATGACTTTTCTATTCTTGCTATTTTTCTATGCAATTAAATCTCCTCAAATTTCAAATTCATACGTTCAAATTTCCGCGTAGAAACACGACAGCCCCAATCGGAATGCTGTCGTGCGCGAGTCGGCAGCTAAATTGCGGGCTCACGTCGCAGATCCGCCCGAAGAGCGCCCTTTTTGCGCAGCAGCAACAGTCAACGGGGCCCGAGTATGGGTGGGTGCCATTAATGCGTGAATTGATTTCGCGCTTTACGAAGCTTATCTTGGTTTTTGTGTGTTTTTCAACTTCATGGAAATATGATGAAACCTCTGTTCAGGAAATTTTTATTTGTGGAAAAAATGTTTTGTGACTGGAATTGACCAAATGTTGGCTTTTACCTTTAATGCTCTCTTCATTCGAAAGGAGTTCAATTTTTTCGGACCGGAAATTGTTGAAAGCGAAATGTTGTGGTTTAATAACCTTTTTGCGATAAGATAGCCTGGCTTGCCGTTTTAAAGGGACCGGCAGGGTATCTGGATGTGTATATGAATTTTTGTTGACCGTGAATTTTGACGATATTGAAATTCATAGCCGCTGATCCAGAAGCTTGCCTTTTACGCCCCTTTAAAACGTCATTTCGCGGTATCGATCTGCTTGCGAATCTGCATACCTTCTGAGGGTCGCACGGCCCGCGGCGCCAGTTTCCCATCATGTCTTTCGTAGTTTTCTCCGCTCGTTCTCGCTCGCTCTCTCTCTCTCTCTCTCTCTCTCTCTCTCTCTCTCTCTCTCGCCTCCCAAAGGGTATTCGGGTCCGTCCGCTCGATTGATCACACCGCGCGGGCGCGCGTATGCAAAAAGCGGTACCATCTGGTGGTTGCCCTTCGCTCCCCTGACATTCCCAGCACCATTGCCTCGAAAAGAAACATTTTTCCAAGTTACCGAGCAAAAAGCAAAAGAATTTCGCTGGCGGGGATCGAACCTGGGTAGTGTGGACGGGAGGCTAGAGCTTAGCCAATTCACCACGGTCCTGCAGGCGCGTATTGAAGTTAAATTATGGCTGAATATCTTGTAATAAAGTGTTAGATCACGACGGCTCAGTTCTCCGTTGCAGCAAAAATTGCGGAAGTAATAAAAAATAGGAAGGCACACTTTTCAAAAAACCCCGATGGGGTCGCGCGCTTTTTTACCTTCTCATTTTTAATCAGCAACGCCTCTCATAATTAGGGTTGCCTGCTAATAAAAAATTACATTAATTTACACGCGGATAAAATTCGAGACCCCTAATTTTTTTAGTAATTGAAAAGTAACGAAACCCACTTTTTCATACGCAAAAAATTTCTCGATTTCAGCAAAAAAAACTCGAATTCGAAAGAGCCTAACCTAAAAATAGTATCCATACCGTTTCCGGCGAATATGAAAGCAAAATGATGCTAGTAGCAGACTAAGCCGAATTACCGTGTTTGCAAGAATCATATCACCCAAAAACGTGTAACATCAGAATCTTCGCATAAAAATCACAAATTTTTTGAACATTTTGGTGCACTAAAAAATTATTAAAAATAGGCGTGACAGGCAAAAACAGGCATAAAATTTTACAATTTCATTGCTGAAAGTATTTTGGTTATTTTATAGCAATCAAAAACTACTTAAACCAAGATAAAAATACCAAATGTATCACCAAAAGGTATATTCCATAGACGGAAAAACGGATATTAATTGCCCGCTCGCCCCCGCTAACAGTCCAGTTCCTTTAAATAAACGCCAGGGACCCCGATAGTTTTTGGCACTCGGCCGAGTGGCTAATTCCTCCTCCTCCTATGTTTTTCTTCAGAAAGTGAAAGGCCCGCCGCCGGGGCGTCATTTGGAGCGTGGTGTACGCTTGCGTAGTAAAGCGTTTTCGGGGCCACTGCAAAACTAATTAGCATCCCCCCCCCCCTTCCTCAATGGCTAGGGACAAAGAGCACATTTATTTTCTCGTACCCAACAACGTACTGGGGTGAAAATCTGAATTGGAACTGGTGCCGGGAATCAGAATTACACAGACAAAAAATTTTCTATTGCTAAAATTGCATGAAACACTTTTTTTTAATAAGAAAAACTAAATTTTACTAAGAAGTAAACACCTGTGAAAAACGTGTATTCGTTTAAGGTTTGAATATGTTTCTCATTCAATTTAAATATATAAACTTGAAACCGATATTTTTACCCATTTAATTCCGGTTTTACCCATTTAATTCTAGGTGCTTTCACCGTAAAGTTAATTAATTAAGTGCCATATCAATTTACTTGGTGAATTACAACGACATCCAAATACTAAACGGGTTTTTAATTTTTCTGGTAATTGGTGAGATGAAACACATTTTTGGCAAAAATTTATTAAAATTTTCGTTGTTGTAAGGACAGTTTTTCCTTATTTTGCGAAATTTTTCAGTTTTAGATTCTTTGTAAATCAACACTGTAAATTGTTTAAATCTAAATTAAAGCATTTACATTAAATAAGCTAATTTTTTATTAATAAATTTAACGCTTCCCAACTTCGATTTTCTCCCGACCACCTTGCTGACCTTGGGCGATTTTCGGCTGGTGCGCGCACCCTGGCGGCTAATAGGATAAGAATTGTCGCGGGGGAGGGTATTTATGCCGGGGTGGCGCTGTATTCAAAGCGTCACTCCCAAAATCTGGGGCACCATTTGGGCGAACAATTCGGGGAGGGTTGGCTAAAATTTGGGATTGAAATAAAATGATTCAACAAAATTTAGTTTTGAAAAATTAATACGGTCATCCAATAAAGATTAAGTATTAAAATTTTCCATCAATAATAAATCCGCCAAATTTCGTAAAAATAATATAATCAATTTTTCTGTTTGTACAAAGATCAGCGGCTGCTTTGTTGAAAACCGTATGTTGCATCAAATCTATTAGCTCGGCGACGGATTAAATTATGATTCGGTTCCAGAAGTTTGGATGGCCTTAACACGGGACAGCAGCGCCGCGGCATGTCCGCGCGGCCCGTGGGCTCGCCGTGCACGGGCCGCGACTCCGCCGTGCGCGCGCCGTGGCCGCGGACCCGCCGTGCCAATGCCGCGCGCGGATTGACCGGGCAGCCGGGCCCCTCCCGTGCGCGGTCAATGCGCGCGCGCGCCGCGTTTTCGCCGTGACGTCGATAGGTGTTGGAAGTACCGCACGGAGAATTTCGCGATTTCATGGCAAAATCCACAAGTCTAAAAAAACTTGATAGTTCAGAGAACAATAATTATTACCTCGCCGTTTACTAAACTTTTTATCGAAATCTGTTAAGGCCTGCGATTACTAACTACTTTCATAGCTTCATCCCGTTCGTAATTTGCCTGAGAACCTGGTTCCTCTTTTGTATCCTCAACTCGTTTCGAATTGTTTCATTGTTATTGCATGCCTTTTAGATAAAAAAGTCTGGATGTCGAACCCAATTCAGGAAGGTTCTGAATGAAAGACTTCTTGCGGAAAAGGTATCGTTCATTCTAGGCTTTCTAAGTTCAAATTTAGGTTTGGTATCCTGTTCTGATGCGCCAGTCACGTCGACGGGATTCAAGCCGCCGGCCCAACGCCTCGAAGGTGCCGCCGAGATGATGGGCAACTAGTGCGACGAATTTTCACATCTGCCGTCAATACTGGTCAACTTGTGTTAGCTGGGATAATACTGGTCAGTGTTTCTTGCTTAGTTGTCACCGGCACAAGGTTCCGATTTATTTTTTCCTTATGAAAAAGCTCATGGCCTGGGTGGCGTCGCTTTCAATATGGGTTCAATAGGAGTTTTCCTAAGGAAAATAGGTCTTAACCTGTGCCGGTGACACCTCAAGTCTTGGCTTTCTATGTTTTTTTTAGCAGACAGTTGTTTTCCGGAAGACAGGCTGCGAGACGCGAGCTGCTTCCTGCTGCCGACAATACCCGCGCATAGGAAACTGAAGACCGACGATCAAAAGAAGAAGGAGGTATCGATCTTCATCTTTTCATCAATTTTTCTTAGATTTTGCTTGACGGCATGGGCAAATACTTGTGAAAAATCAAGTTGCACGACACGCGCCACCTTCATATGCAAAGCAGACGTCCTACTTTTGGTTGGTTTTTTTTTGCTAAAGTTAATTAACTTTTCAAATTAGTGCGCTTCTTTTCGCTCATGTGTGCCGTTGCTCGACGAACCTACCCGCTGAATCTGCAGTGCTACTTGTAAGTAGAGTTTAATCTACTTATATCTATTCTTTAGGGTTATGTTCGGAGTCTTTATGCAGTCGGGCCCGATGTGTGCTATTCGACGACGCGCACCACTGCCGTCGATGTTCAGGGACCAAGAAAATGTAAAAAGCAAACTTTAAATTATTATCTGTCATTTGTGAACAACCCGTGGTTTTTCTTATGTTTGTATAATTTGTTCATCCATACTCTTCATTTTTCTGTATCTGCTGTTATCTTATCGCGTATTGTGACTTCATTCAAGTTCCTGGTCGATTATTGTATGATAAACTATTAGTGGAGCAAGGTGTATCTAATTTCGCTTAAATGCACCCGAATACAAGGAAAAGTAAGGATATATTAATAGTAAAGGCATCCATGCGTGGTTCCTTGCGTGCACGGCGCGCGGTCCAGCCGTGCGCGGCGCGCGCTCCCGCCGCGCACGGCCCGTCCGGGGCCGTGCCAGCCGCGGTCAATGCGCGCGCGCACCGCAGGTAACGCGCGAACGGGCCGGTACCGGCCCGTTCGCGCATTGGCAACGGCGCGCGCGCGCAATGAACCGCGGCGCTGCTGTCCCGTGAATTCTAAAATAGCTTAGCTTTTAACTTAAAAAAAAATATATATATATATATATATTAAATAAATAAATAAATAAATAAAATAAAATAAAATAATAGTGCTAAATAAAAAAAGCTATTTAGATAATTAAAAACGTGCGTAAAACATAAAATAACGAAACAACAAAAAAAAATCAAAATTTTGAATTTTGAAAAGTAGGTTTCGCGCCAGGAATAGCACGTAAAGTAACCCAACTAAGCAAATCTGTCGACTCAAGTTTTTCCAAAACCGTGCAAAGTAGCCAAAAAAGTGAGAAAATATGTATACAAATAGAAAAATTACGTTTAAAGCTATTTTACTTAAATATTATATAAATACTTTTCAGTGAGACGGCTGTGGCCCAGGTGGCCGCCGAGGTGATGCTCTTCCACGACGCACAGAAGACGTGCGTTTTTCGGGATTTTATTATTTTTATTATACTTCGCCGCCCACCCAGGTGGGCCCCTGGGGACGGAGGGGACTGGGAGGGGGACAGAGGGGGATCCCCCCAGGGGACCCCCCAGGTAGGCATCTATAAAAGTCCCCCTGAGACTTTTTGAACTTAAATTTTGTTCACCATGTTAAAACTAAATTGAATTTGACAATGGTTCACGTGGAAAAACCATTAACAACTTTGAAAATGTTTTTAGTGGATTCTTATCGAAAATCCACGATTTTGATCGATCCAATAACCGATATTTTGGACTTTTCATAACGCAAAATTGCAATATTTATATTTATGAATTGTCGAAAACAGATGAGAAACACTTCATCTACCTATAGAAAAATTAGATCCTTAGTAAAAAAGATTGTTTATAGTGGCCGGTGGGGGGAGGGAGGGGAGGGGGAAGAATCCCCCCTGGGGTGTCCCCCCTCTGTCCCCCCTCCCAGTCCCCCCTCCGTCCCCCCAAGGGGGGGCCCACCCCGGGTGGGCGGCGAAGTATAATTTTTATTGTTTTATATGACCTTGGGCATAGTTTGCGGGATATCAGATGCTCAGAATTATATAATTTTTTTAAGCACTTAACGTGGAAACGCTTTGAAGCATATAATTGCGGGGGATGATTCTAGTGCCTGATGCGCAAAACACGCCCTTTTGTCTTTTTGGTAAAACATTGCTTTTCCAGGCGGATCACCGTAAATTGAACTGGGTTAGAATATTTTTAAGTGATTAAAGGATTATTTGAATATAATAATAGTAAAATTTAGCTAATTAGTTGATTTTTAAATAGTCAATCAGGTTGTAATATTTTTAACCTATTAAAAAGTAATTTAATATAGCAAATTAAATAAACCACATTCACTATTTTTAAAATGAATTAAACGCCCTATTTTCCAGGTGGATCAGCGCGCCGGGCGTGCCGACCAACCAGCCGTCGTGCGTCCAAATTTTGCAGCACAACCAGCAGCAGACGTTCCGGATAATTGCCACCCGGCAGGAGGTATCATTTTAGTAATAAGTAAAGGTATAACAAAAGCTGTTTTTTCAGCAATTAAAATTAAAATTTTAACGGCTTTTTAAAAACCTTCTTGTGGCATTTAGCGGTTAAACCATTCTGCTTGGTAAAATCATGCTCAACAAGACAAAAGTGTGGAACATAAAACTTTTTTGTCTGGAAAATAATGTTATAAAATTTATCAAATGGTTGGCTGGGATTAGCGATTAAAATATAAATTCGATTAAATTAAGATAATTAATTGATATAGTATTAACAAAAATTATAAATAATTTGCCAAAAATATGTTGCAGCAACTCACAGTATCTAGCCTAGCGAGCGGCAAGCAATTGCTGCTACATTTCTCAAATTCGAAGCTTGCAAGCCTTAATTTAATGGAATATATACTATTTTTTTTGTATCTAAATTTCATAAATTGTATATAAAAAATAAAAATATGTAGAAATATTTGCTACTTTTGCAAAAAATGTGTGGTATGATCCATTTTACTATTTTTTTGCAGGACGGCAGCCTGATCATGAACTGCCGGATACACCCGAGATTCAAATACCACGCCGCCAGGCCGAATTTCCACCAGTGGCGCGACGACCTGAAGCAGGTAAGCAGAGGTTTTTGTGCTTTTTTGATTATTTCAGTGATTCTTATAACGAGGGCGAAATGCGCAAAAAAAGTTTTATGTAAAGTTTGTAACAACCTAGAAATCCCTGCGATAGTGTTAAAAGGCCGTTTGCGAGAGACCCGAACAATGCTTGGCACAGTTTTTTTCGACCCCGTTTTTTCGACGGCATCGGAAAGAGCATGGTCGAATTGGTAGGGCTGCATAGTTTTGAAAGTTTAAAAAGTTAATTTTTGGGGTTTAAATTGGAGTCAAAGTTGCAGACACTCAAAAATTATCTCGAAAACTACTGAACCAAATTGGCTAAAAATTTGTGACAATGCCTAATTTGGGATGGGGATCATTTTTTTAATACATCGTGAAGCACGAAAATGAGCGGAACATAGAAATATAGCGTACCCGAAACAGTAATTTTGGATTTTCTATTTTACGGGTTTTCGAGGGTAACTTTTTTACTATAGAAAGATGCGCCAGGAAATTCTGCATTGAATGATGTATTTTTCATTTTACCCTCCGGTTCCCTAGTTACGCTATAAAGCATTTACTGCGCACCAAACAGCCCCCAGACTAGGCCAAAAACCTCAAAAATGACAGATTTTTAAATTGAAAACATCAAATCGTATCTAGAGAATGAGCTGAACCGATTGCAAAAAAGAGCAAAACGAACTTCGGCTTCTAAACATAGGCTGAGATCCGGGGAGGAATCGAACTCGGACCCTTCGCCTGGAAGCCCTCTCTGGAGCCGTGGTGGATTGCATGAGTGCTCGCCTACCAATCCTGGGGTCGCGCGAGTTCAATTCCATCCCCCCTCAAAAACATTATTTCTTTTTGCTCTTTTTCTGCAATCGATTCAGCTCATTCTCTAGATACGATTTGATGTTTTCAATTTAAAAATCTGCCATTTTTGAGGATTTTGGCCTAGTCTGGGGTCTGTTTTGCGCGCAGTAAATGCTTTATAGCGTAACTAGGGAACCGGAGGGTAATGAAAAATACATCATTCAAGCAGATCTGGCGCATCTTTCTATAGTAAAAGAAGTTACCCTCGAAAACCCGTAAAATAGAAAATCCAAAATTACTGTTTCGGGTACGCTATATTTCTATGTTCCGCTCATTTTCGTGCTTCACGATGTATTAAAGAAATGATCCCCATCCCAAATTAGGCATTGTCACAAATTTTTAGCCAATTTGGTTCAGTAGTTTTCGAGATAATTTTTGAGTGTCTGCAACTTTGACTCCAATTTAAACCCCAAACCTTAACTTTAAACTTTCAAAACTATGCAGTTTCGACCAATCGATCATGCTCTTCCGATGCCATCGAGAACAGCCGAAAAAGTGTGCCAAGCCATATTGGGGTTTGTTCGGGTGGCTCGCGGACGGCCTTTTAAGTCTGAAGGTCAAGAAAAGTTCCTCCTAATTTTATTAAAAATGAGGGAAAACGTTGGTTCTATTAAAACTTTATTAGATTTGTGCAAACCTGGCCAGCCTATACAGTTCCGTTCCCGATTTGCAAAAGCTTGAAAGCGTTGTGCTAATTCTTGCAAATGCGTTCTCTGAATCCCTTTGATTCTTCTAAAAATTAATAAAATAGTTATTTCTATCAACTGTTATTTTATTGATGTTTTTATTGTTAATTTGAATTTATTTAATTTTAATTTATGCAGATGCTTTGTGTTCCATGTGTACCGTCATTTATCTGACTAGGCCAAAAGGCGGAGAAAAAATGTTTCATAGAAACATGTTAAAAACCTAATAATCGTTGCGCTAATATTCGGGAAGTTAATGTCTTCATTTTTATCTATAAACTAACATAATAGTTATTCTTATATCATTTTTTAAAGTTTGATAACAGCTATGGAAATCCTGCTAGGCCAAGGAGCGCAAAATGTACCACCCAAATTTTGTATACATCTGGAGATTTTGGGGTGATTCCTCGGTTCCCCTCCTTTCAATCTTTAGAATTTATTTTTATTAACTTATGCAAATACTCCTGATTCTAGGTATACGGCCTGTGCTTCGCCTCGGACCAAGACGCCCAGGCCTTCCAGCAGCGGATGGACTGGTCTATCTCGGTGCTCCAACAGCTCCAGCAGCAGATGACCAACGGCGAATACCACTGCCCAGGTAGGCTCGTTTTAATTTTTCGCCTAAAGCTAAAAAATCATTGACATTTTAAAAAAGTATTTTTTAAAATGCAGACAAATGGCTTTGCAATAACGCCTAATTGTATTTTTTTCTTAGCCGCAACTGCTAACAACAAATTAACTATTTTGAAAACCCTAAAATGGGGTGATGGGATGAAACAAGTTTTTGACATTTTAAAAGAAGTTAAATTCCCCATCACTTGTGAAATTCCCATTAAATTTTATTTATTTATTTTATTTTTTTCACCTTCTAAAGTTAGACAATACGGCTAAAAATCATCATAGCTCTTTTTCCACCATCCCTTGGTTGAATTCACAATTGCCAAAAGACGAGAGGTGGGCGCTGGGGTGAAACACGGTTATTAAGGGGAAAATAATTTTACTCCAAAATACTGATGTTGCAACTAATTCTAGTTTCGGCTGCGAAATCTTCGCGCCCATTATTCCATAGATAGAATTCCGAAAATCCGACTGTCGAAATTTAAATTTGTCTAAAATTGGCTATGTGGGAGTTCATTTTTGAACCTCATCTTGTTTTGAAATTTAGGCATTATTCGAAACTGCGTTTAGCCGAAATTTCAATGCGCTGAATTTCGATTCTGCATGTTTCAGATGGATAAATTGAAATGAAATTTCGACAAATAGAATTTCGAGATTCTAATTTTCGATAAAATAAAATTGCGATAAAGTTACGTTTCGATACAATTAACAAAATGAATTTAGGCATTCTCATTTTCGATAAAATCCAGTGAATCCGGGTTTTTTTAATTTTTCGCAACTTATTTGCCTGCGGGAACGGCGGTTAGAATAACCGCCCTACATTGTTTGCCTGGCATTTCAGAGGGTGGAAATTTTGGGGGCATTTCGGGTTTTGCACGTTTCAAATTTCCGTTTGCCCTGAGGGCACGCGGTTTAGCGGGTAGGCGGTGCGAGAATGCCCGTCAAAAACACAACCCAAAAATTTGGCCTAATCATTTTTTTTGAAAAGCTTTATTCTAATAAGATTTTTGGATCGGGGTTTTGCCGTTTATTCAGCTTTAGCCGACTAGTATTATATAGTATAAAATTAAAATGTTTAATTAAATTCTTTGTCATTCGTGTATTACATATTGTTTGTCGGGCTCGGCGGCGGCCTCTATTTTTTACACGAAACATTTTTTACTTTTAAAATTCGTGAAATGAAAAAGGAATGAACAGTCAATGAATAAATGGATGCAAAATAAAACTTAAAATTGAAATATTAATATAAGGGAAAATTACGCTAATGAATTCGGTATAAATCCGATAATTAACAGTTTTCGATGAGTTAGAGAAAGAAAGCTGAGGATTCTATAAAAATCGTGGGGCACTACTAGGAAATTTTATGAATCATGTTTTTCTATCTCGAGCATTGGCGCTACGAAAATTAAAAAATGTCCAATAAATGCCGGAAGCCGAAATATTTATGTTTTATTAAATTGCCTAGTGTCTTGCAAAAAAGTAATGGAATTGCATATTCTTGGGTGAGGTAAAGGCTGAGGAAAGTCGGTACTGTAGCTTACAAAAAACATGCGGCATCACTGTCAACAAATATCTATCAAAAGCTCTCTCTCTCTCTCTCTCTCTATCACTCGCTCTCTCTCTCACCCTCGCCTTTTATGCTATTGCTGTTTGTTAGTGTCCAGAGTACAGGCGGAGGCCTGTCCAGGGGAATGGCGTGTACTGGATTTTCGCATGGGGGTCGGGTATTCTCGTGTATTTGCCCACCTTCTCGACGCCCATAAAAGCCGCACACCTCGAGCATGACGCCCTGATGGCTATGGCCGGGCTGCTGGCAAAAATGCGACACGTTTTACACCTCCGGAGGTTTCTATGACTTTTTTACTTTGGTTTCAAGACTAAATTTTGGATTGCATTCAAAATGTCGAAAACGATGATGTCGAACTTCAAAATTTTCGATATTATGATTTTCGAGATTATGAAATTTCGACACCCGTCTAAGAAACAATTACCGTAGTTGTTTATTCTCTTCCCCGTTGCTTTGCTGAAACATGAAAACGCAAAATCCAAGTAAATAGAAAAATTTAGTAAAGAAAATGTGTTTCAAAATCGACTCAACTTCTTAGTTCACCGCTTTCTCTAAGCAAGACTCTGAAGAAGCCACGATCGATCGTAACAAAACTAAATTTATCTTTCAATGCAGGTAAAAACGAAAATTTTGATGTTTCAAGAAGGTTCCTTACCCGCAATTCACGACTGTGTTTAATTACTGGCAAGATGATTGGGCTGACAAGGGAACCACCTAAGGTCATGGTGGCGTTTGTATGGGAGATGGTGAAAAACAGCCTATTTCTCACGCCCGTAAGTGATCGTCGATAGGTGGTAACGCACTAATGAAATATACCAATGGAATCAGAAAGAATTCTCTACATGATAGGCCATTCAAAATCGACGGTCCTATTAAAACAAAAAAGTGGGGCATCGTGGCAGATGACTTCCCGCGGACTATAATATGACCTTAAAATTGCTATAACTTTTTAAATTGGGCTATTTAGGAAAAATTGA